ACAGTCGTGGAGGACGTGATCGGTTGTCTCAGGCGTCAAACTACCTGTGTACATAGCTGATTCCCCAGTCTGTATATGTATGTATGGTGTACGTACGCGCGCGTGTGTATGTGGATGTGTGTATATGTATGCGTGTATTGGATGTTTATGAGTGTGTACGTTTGTACATGGGTTTGCGTGTATTTGTGAGTGTATGTGCTCGCGCGAGCGTGCTAAAGCATTTTACCACCCATGCTTTTGTTTTTGACTTGATATTCATAATATGCATATTATTACATGAACAACATGCTTTATTGATAAAATACAACTGCTGCGTGAAAGACGGGTGTTTGGAAGGGCCGAATGTAAGACTTGTGACCCTTTGAAAGTATAGTTGGTTCGTTCGGTCGTCTTAACGTGTGTGTATATATGGCTGATCAGTAATTTCATTACCATCTTCTTCTGTTGAGAGGCGACTATTACGTCAGGCTGTTCTTCATTTGCACCTTCCTTGGCTATTTTATAAGCTCTCTTATTGTAGAACTACCGTCTTCTTCTTCTTCTTCTTCTTCTTCTTCTTCTTCTTCTTCTTCTTCTTCTTCTTCTTCTTCTTCTTCTTCTTCTTCTTCTTCTTCTTCTTCTTCTTCTTCTTCTTCTTCTTCTTCTTCTTTCTTTCTTTCTTCTTCTTTTTCTTCTACTTCTTCTTCTTCTTCTTCTTCTTCTTCTTCTTCTTCTTCTTCTTCTTCTTCTTCTTCTTCTTCTTCTTCTTCTTCTTCTTCTTCCTCTGCTATTTTTTTCTGCTATTTTTAGTCCCATGTTGGACAAGGCACAACTGATTTCACTCCCCGCGTCAAGCTCGCAGCGCTGTTTTGTTTTCATGACTGTTCGTCTTCTGCTTCTTCTTCTTTTTCACCTTTTACCTCAGCGAGGTGTTGGGTGGAGATGTACGGATCGTTTATGTGCATTTTCCTAATGCATCGTACAAGTTGGTGTTCTTTTCTGTTAGGTTGCTCCTGATGATGTCGCTGCATGTCTGGTTGCTCCTGATGATGTCGCTCCATGTCTAGCGTGGTCTTCCCCTTGCTCTGGGTCCATTATATTTCTTCAGCGTGGCTCTTTGTGGCAGTTAGTACCAGGGCATTCTCGTCAGGTGGCCAAACCATCTCATTTGTTGTTCTTTAATAAATTTTATGATTGGTTTTAGTCCTAGTCTTCTAGTAATTTCTTGATTTATTCTCTTGTCACACCGGCAGCTCTCCTAAGACATCTCATCTCCGTTGTTAATTCAATTACCAACTTCTTCTGTTGATAGGAGACTGTTTCGTCAGGCTGTTCTACGTGACCGTTAATGCTTAATATCCGGATTATTACAAGTAGTCATTTTTAAAATTGCATAGGTTGGAGACTGCTTTTGTAAAGTAATTAAAGGGGCCTTTGTACGCCAGTGGCGATAAAGGTTATGATGCAATGCAAATACTGGAATTCCTCTATGGAAAGGGGGGGGGGGGGTTCACAAACTAGGCACGCAGGCCCATCTTACTTTCGGCATTTCCAAACACCCATCTTTCACACAGCAGTTGCATTTTATCAATGAAGAATGTTATATTCATGTAACAATCAAAGGAAGAAGAAAGGAGAAAGAAGAAGAAGAAGAAGAGGCAGTAACAGGAGGGGAACGAGAGGGAGAAAAAGATGGGAGAAGCAAACTAGAGATTGATTCAAACTAGCAACGTTAAACTTTGTCAAGGACAAAGCAAACAAAAAAAATGCAACACTCGACATAGTCGTCTCTTAAAATCCGCCAAGGATTATCATCCCTCAGACCGCTGATCTCCCAAACAGCTGCTGAGATTAGCACGTCCACCAGTTGGTCGCCTGGAAACACAGATCGTAATCTATCCAATGGATGCCCAGTAAGGTTCTTCGGATTCACAAATGCATCGATAACATTCACGGTTGATCTTATCGGGAGGCGAGCCTATCACGGCGGCCACTGGATTAAAACATAGCTAGACAGTGCAGACGGGAACTTCTTCTTCTTCTGCCTTTCTACCCCCCAATGGAGCATAGGCCCTCAACCAACTCACGCCAAGTCGTTCTATCCTTCGCCATTGCGTGGAGCTCTCCCCATGTCCTCCCCATCTTTCTTACTTCATTCTCCATCTCTCTTCTCTGTGTTTTTTGGCTTTCCTATGCCCCTGTGGGTTCCAGTGCAAAGACATTCTAGTTATGCTGTTCTCCTGTTTTCTCAGTGTGTGATCCAACGCCAGACGGATCTAAATGACGTTATTTAAAAAAAAAAATCCTTTTTCACCAGGGATCGATGAAAGAGTGGAACAACTGCCCAGTCAGAATGGTGGATAGGTGGGATTTATGTTTTAGTCGTGACAAGTTTTTGCTTCTGGAAATAGATGTTCCAGTTTCCCCCTTGTGTGGACTGAAAGGGTATAGTTCCGTTGCCCAGCTACTGGATTTGGTGCATTGCGAGATACTATCAGCTGCGAGTGTCATTGAGAGTGTTTTTCGACTGTGGCCAACTTGGTTAACGCTGTGAACTGCAGATTAAAGTAAAAACAAAAACGGGGAGCAGCCTGGTCTCATAGAGATGGTGGTGCCTTTTGCGATTGATTACGTGTGCAACCACTGATTTGCTCTAACTGCTGCTTCCATCGATGATGAAATGCCTTTCTAGGTGCTTTTCCTACCCCAAACAGGGGAAATCCACAGGTCAGGGACAGTCTAGTATTTCAGGAGGTGGTAGATAGGCTGCATGCAGTCGTGAGACCTAGGATGCGTGCAGTCGTGGGGGACCTAGGCTGCACACGTGGGAAGTAGGTGGGTTGGGATTAGGGCCAGTTCTGCATGTTTTGGTTTCGTTAATAGCATATAAAGCCGGTAAACCCAGTCTTCCTACCCTCTAAAATGTTGGACTGTCCTATGACGTTATCTGGGGTAGGATAATAATGAAGAACCCATTTTCAGTGTGTAATCAGTTGGGAAGCCAAATGGCGTAGAAAGGGGTTTTCGCAATGTGACGGATTAAGGGTCAGGTTTCTTCTGAGGCAAACCTCAGGAAAGCGTGTATGAAATAAGTTTGGTCTTTCCCGTGTACAACATCAGTGTATAGTGCAGGACTGGTTGTGTTGGCACTTCTGACCGCTGCCTTATGTGTTAAATACGTTTGGCTTCTTTATTAATTATCCTATTCCCAGATGACATCACATGACAGTCCAACATTTTAGAGGGTGGTAGGACTAGGTTTCCTGGCTTTCTGATGTTTTTTAACGACCCCAAAACATCTAGAACTGGCCCTTACCCCAACCATCCTACGTCCCTCGAGAGAGTGCAGCCTAGGTCCCACGTCTGCTTGCAGCCTAGGTCCCACGTCTGCTTGCAGCCTAGGTCCCACGTCTGCTTGCAGCCTAGGTCCCACGTCCCCTGCTTGCAGCCTAGGTCCCACGTCTGCTTGCAGCCTAGGTCCCACGTCTGCTTGCAGCCTAGGTCCCACGTCTGCTTGCAGCCTAGGTCCCACGTCTGCTTGCAGCCTAGGTCCCACGTCTGCTTGCAGCCTAGGTCCCACGTCTGCTTGCAGCCTAGGTCCCACGTCTGCTTGCAGCCTAGGTCCCACGTCTGCTTGCAGCCTAGGTCCCACGTCTGCTTGCAGCCTAGGTCCCACGTCGCTTGCAGCCTAGGTCCCACGTCTGCTTGCAGCCTAGGTCCCACGTCTGCTTGCAGCCTAGGTCCCACGTCTGCTTGCAGCCTATCTACCACCCCCTGAAATATTAGACTGTCACGTGACCTGTGGATTTCCCCTGTTTGGGGTAGGAAATTAATAAAGCACCTGCGTTTGTATGCTAGCGGCTATGCTGAGTCTGCCGTTTGTTAACCCCCCCCCCCCCACCCCCCATAAGCATAAGCATAATAAAAAACGTGCTGTGTGGTTTTCGTTGGCACGGGTACGGAGCAACTATGGAAGTGACCCGTTTGTTTTGGAGTCACAGCTGTGATTACCTGATTTTCTCAATCAAAGCATTTCACGCAATTACACCTTAAATATTCGCTAATTAATTCCAGGTTCATGATGCATCCTTTTGCCCTCTAAGGCTAATGCCACTACTGCTGCTGCCCCTACTGCTGCTGCCACCACTGCTGCTGCTGCTGCTACTACTACTGCTACTTTTACTACTACTATGACTACTGTTATTATTACTACTATTACTGCAACTGCTGTTGTTGTTGCTACTGCTACTACCCCTGCTACCATTAATGCTGCTGCTACTACTACCACCACCACCACCACTACTACTATTATTATTACTACTACTACCACTACTACTATTATTACTACTACTACTACTACTACTACTACCACGGCAACTACTACTATTATTACTACTACTATTGCTGCTGCTACTGCTACGAATACTGCTACTCTTACTACTGCTGCAACTACTGCTGCTACTGCTGCTACTACTACTACTGCTGCTACTACTGCTGCTGCTACTACTACTACTACTTCTACTACTACTCTTACTATACTCCTCCTCCTACTGCTACTGCTACTTTTACTGCTGCTACTCTTGCTACTATTGCTGCTGCTCCTGCTGATTCCACCCCTCCTACTCCTGCTCCTTCTTCTGCTGCTGCTTTTTTCTCTTCTTTTTTTTTAAAGCGATAATATTATGCAAACTGTTATATGGACACAGCATGCTTTATGGACAAAATATACTATTGCCAATTGAAAGATGCGAGTTTGGAGGCGACGGGCATACGTACCCACTTTATGACTATTTGAAGATAGAGTTAGTTCGTATATTTGTGTCCTCTTTTTTCTCACCCCCCCCCCCTTTTCTCATCGTCCTTCTGTTTTTCTTCTTCTTCTTCTTCTTCTTCTTCTTCTTCTTCTTCTTCTTCTTCTTCTTCTTCTTCTTCTTCTTCTTCTTCTTCTTCAACAAGATCCTTTGCAACGAAGTCGATATACAGATCTTTAAACCTGTGTGTGTTTTTGGTTGTGTTTGCAGGTATCTTTGCTTATCTGAACTACCAGATCCCTGCCACCAGGCAGGAGATCTTAGCGAAGCTCATCAATGGACTCAAGCGCCTGGAGTATAGAGGATACGATTCTGCAGGTTGGTATTCCTCCGTGGCTGTGTCAGTGTGACTGCCTCTGCCTGTCTGTCTGCCCACCTGTTGTGCCTGATTGGATAACTGTCCCACCATAAAGTGAGTCAGGATAAGAGAGTTGTAGAATGTACAAAAGACACTGAGGTAGAGACAGAAAGAGTGAGCGAAAGAGAGAGAGAGAGCAAAAGAATCTTCTGCTTCTTCTGCGATCTCTGGTCATGCGCATAATCCACTGTGGGTCATAAACTGGGATGTCTTTTCCAGGTCTCTTAGGTTTCCCCAAAGTTTAGTTGTCAGTTCTACTGGGTGTTGCCATATGTCGCTCCGCAGCTCCGCCAGGAGAGGACAGTCTTGCAGGACATGTTCTGGAGTCTGTTCAGCACGAAGGCACTGGCAGAGAGCTGTTTGGCTCATACCTAATTTATGTGAGTGTTTATTGAGTCTGCAGTGTCCAGTGCGTAAGCGAAAAACTGTGACTTGGTCCTGTTCTGTTCAAGTGTGAGTCAACGAAAATCTTTTTCGTAGTTATAAACCAGTGTTGGTTTTCCAATCTGTTTCTGATTTTCTCTTAATGAGAGTTTTGACTTCTAGAAAAGAGAGTGGCTGGTAGGTCTGGGTAGGTCTGTAGTTTGTTACTACCTTACTTGGCTAAAGCATCTGCGCTTTCATTGCCTTTGATGCCACAGTGAACACGGAAATCCACTGCAAAGTGAATTTCTGCCTTATTTGACAACATAGCAAAGTTCCTGTGTTATACTTTGTAGTTGTGCTGTCGGTTAGGTTGGGACTCAAGGGCCTGTACAGCTGACAGTGAGTCAGTGAATAAAACTATCCTGCCCTGCGGTGATTTGCAGATTGTTCAAAGAAACTGTGCTGCCATCAACGAGAGAGCTGAGAGTTCTGCCTTGTAGTTAGAGCAAGTTCGTCCGGTGGGGGCTGCTGAGGGGACACAGTAGTAGGGCATCTGGGTGTTTTATGGTAAACACCTGCCCCACCATTCGTAGTTGACTGGATCTTTTGATTGATCCATCCGTGTAGATCGCTTGTCCAGCTGTTAGGCTGTGGGAAACATGTTGTTGAGGTGTTCCATTGTGAGTGCTTGTCTTCATTTTTAGCGGGCTCAGCATCATTGTTTCCTAGGTTCGGGATGGATGTTGACACATTGAGTGTCAAGAGCAAAAGAATGAAATGCAGTAAGCGAAAAGGACACCGAGAGAGAGAGAGAGAGAGAGAGGAGAGAGAGATGAGAAAAGAGAGAGAGATTCGAGAAGAGCTGTACGGAGAGAGAGAGTGGAGAGATGGGCGAAAAAGATACAAGAGAAAAAGATAAACATTTAGAGAGTGAGAAAAAGAGGCAGAGAGAGTGAGAGAATGTGATGTGAGGATAGTGAGACATAGAGAACTGATAACGAGCTAAAGAGATAGAAAGAGAGAATTAGAGAAAAAAGACACAGAGAGAGAGAGAGAGAGAGAGAGAGAGAGACAGAGAGGAGAAGAGCTTTTAATAGTGGTAGTGAAAGAAGGAGACGCCGAGTAAGCAAAGGGGACCCAGAGTGAGTAAACGAGACACACAGGGAGCAAAAAGTGAGACTAAGAGGGATTTAGAGCAAGCAATACAAGGAGAATGAATGGAAGAAAGAAAGAGGGATGGTACAGAAACTCTAAAGAGAGTGAAAGTGACAGAGAGAAAGTGACAAGAGCGATAGAGTGAGAGAAAGAGACACAAAAAAGGTGGGGGAAAGAGACAGATAAAATGAGCCCACAGACCTTATAGCAGGAGATCTGGTCGACACACTGAGACAGAAGAGGTGGTTGAGTGAGATCCTCGCAACTAGTCCCGAGGGGCCAGTTAATTGTGAGTGAGAGAGGCATGCAGAGAGGCAAGAAAGAGAAGACTGTGAGAGAAAGAGAGATTTTGAAAGAGTTGCAGAGAGACAGAATAAAAGAAGGTAACAGAGAGAGAGAGGCGCAATAGGAGTACTAGAGTGTAACATGGAAACGTGTTCTGTTTGATGGCAGTGAATGGATTATTGAGCTAGAGCCAACAAATTAGGAAGCGCTTGGAGTCGGTGAATGAATTAGCTAGTCCAGCACCAACACCTCCTCTCCATAGTGGACTTTTACGACATGTATGACATTTTTACAATGACTATCATATACTCCCTCACCTAGATCTACATACCGGGTCATGCGGGCGTAAAGGGTCTTGAGCGAGCGGATTAATTGGAAAGCAATGAACCAGCGCATGTTGGAAGAGGCATAAACAGAGCAGATATCGTCAACGCTGTACGGACTGGGTTAGTGGATAATGGCGAATATCTGACAGTAACACGATTGCGTGACATGGGAGTAAAGCATGGTGAAGCACGACTATGCCGCCTTCGAGGCCGATATAGGAGACGGTATAACCAGATTCTCATAGGAACAATTAGTAGAAATACCCTGGAGCGGCTGTTGCATCGTAGGACTGAACACGCATGGGAATGCCCAATGTGCATTGATTTCGATTGTAATAACGTAACATACTTGTCGATTGGATCCCAGCATCACAGGCCTTAGAGCAGCGGTTCTCAACCTGTTGACCGCAACCCATTTTTGTGTGTGGAACGACCCTTTCACAAGGGTCGCCTAAGAGCATCGGAAAACACATATTTATTAAAGTTTAATAGGAAAATAACTGTTAGGGGGTCGCCACAACATAGGGACGCTGCTAAACGGTCGCGGCATTAGGAAGGTTAAGAGCCACTGCCTTAGAGCAAGGCTCTTCATCTGGCGACCCGCGGACCAGATCTGGCCCGCAGAGGCCTAGCAACTAGTCCGCGGGTCCTTGCCAGTTGAATTGTGCTAATGGTGTTTCTTCGCTGGGGCTAGGGACCCTTGACGATCCTCTTGTTCAGACTTCGAGAGTATGAATTTCAACCCCCACCAGGACCGCACAACGCGCGATAAACGCCTGGGCGACGCAAAGTGCCACCATTCGGGGGAGAATCACCCTGGCGCAAGTCTCAGGAACCCCATTCAACCGTTAGGGTAAAGGCTCCCTATAACAGCAGGAGTAGGGATTTGAAAAAACGAAAAACTACTTCCCATATGGGGACGATACATATACAGTACTCCTTGAGTGTGAAAGTGCATGAGGCGGGAGAACTGGCGAGAGGTCGAGTTTCTTTCAGGCAGACTGTGATGAGAGCGACGTTCTGCAAAGGACCTGCTACATGATGATGACATATAAAATACCCCTTGAGTGTGAAAGTGCATGAGGCGGGAGAACTGGCGAGACCGAGTTTCTTTCAGGCAGACTGTGATGAGAGCGACGTTCTGCAAAGGACCTGCTACATGATGATAACATATAAAATACTCCTTGAGTGTGAAAGTGCATGAGGCGGGAGAACTGGCGAGAGACCGAGTTTCTTTCAGGCAGACTGTGATGAGAGCGACGTTCTGCAAAAGGCCTGCTACATGATGATGACATATAAAATATACGTATTCAAATATTTGCCCCCTGAGCAAACTTATTTGAAAAGCAACGTCATAGAGTGAGCACACATTCTGATTTGTTATATTTTTTTCAAGTTACTTTGCAATCTGTTACTTTTCACCGTACTGGCTAGGCCTGTTTTAAGCGGACAATATCGAATCTCCCGCAAAAGTTAAATTGACTTTCTCCAGGTGTACTGTTGACTCTCTCCCAGGTGTACTGTTAACGTGTACACGATATTAATTTTTTTATGATGCAATGTATCTGGTATGTTTACTGATTGCATGGGTAGAAGTAGGTTCGTGGACTGCTGCGATGATTGGCAGTTGTGTGGGAAGCCACGTTGGTGAAACCACTTGTTCTAAAATAACAAGCGCAAGTGCCTTCTCCACAATGGAGATTGTCTGTGTTGTATCGCTGTCTGCCTCTTGCTAGCTTGCCTTCGGATTTTCCATCCAGTAAGTTGTTTTGTGAACAATATAACTAGAATGTCTTTGCATTGGAACCTACAGGCGCATTGAATTAAAAAGGGGGGGGGGGAACACGCAGAAGGGGGCTAGAGAATAAAGTTAGAAAGATGGGGAGGACATGGGGAGAGCTGCATGCGATAGCAAAGGATAGAATGACTTGGCGTGAGTTGGTTAAAGGCCTATGCTCCATTGGGGGCTAGAAAGGCAGACAAAGAAGAAGAGAAAGAATGAAGAAAAAGAAAAAGAAGAAAAAATAAAGAAAGAAGAACAAGTGGTTTTGTGACACATGAATTGAGAGAATGAGGGTGTTACAAGAGACATTCTCTTCTTTTTCTTCTTCTTCTTCTTCTTCTTCTTCTTACTTCTTCTTCTTCTTCTTCTTCTTCTTCTTCTTCTTCTTCTTCTTCTTCTTCTTCTTCTTCTTTCTTCTTCTTCTTCTTCTTCTTTTTTCTTCTTCTTCTTCCCCTTCTTCTTCTTCTTCTTCTTCTTCTTCTTTTTCTTCTTTCTTTTTCTCTTCTTCTTCTTCTTCTTCTTTTTCTTCTTCTTCTTCTTCTTCTTCTTCTTCTTCTTCTTCTTCTTCTTCTTCTTCTTCTTCTTCTTCTTCTTCTTCTTCTTCTTCTTCTTCTTCTTTTTCTTCTTCTTTTTCTTCTTCTTCTTCTCCTTCTTCTTCTTCTTTTTCTTTTTCTTCTTCTTCTTCTTCTTCTTTTTCTTCTTCTTCTTCTTCTTCTTCTTCTTCTTCTTCTTCTCCCCCTCCTCCTGCTGCTCCTACTTTTTTCTTCTTATTTTTCTTCTTCTTCTTCTTCTTCTTCTTTTCTTCTCCTCCTCCTCTTCTTCTTTTCCTCCTCCTCCTCCTCCTCTTCTTCGTCTTCTTCTTTTTTCTTTTGTTTAGCATTTACTGGCTGTAAAATTCGGCAGAAAGTTTTAAAGAATTATTAAAAACAACACTAGAATCAACACAGAATCATTTCCAGGGATCCTGAATCACCCACCTGCAATACCTGCGATAGACGCCTTTTTAAAAGCATGTCCGCTGAGTGTGTTTGCCAGACAGGCTGGGAGAATCTTTTGAGAAAGGACAAACAACACATCAGAAGTGTATGATACTTCGACTGTGTGAATTAGGCACACAAAGGGCACAGTGTGTTTGCACGTTAGTTGATAAATCGGTGTGTCGGCCGGTCGATCGTGTGACTTCTGCATAATTAAGCTTGGCCCAAATCGATCACTTTGGCGCGATTTAGTTGAAGTCCTATGCTGTGGGGGGGGGGGGGGATAACGGGCAGAATCAGTAGTACAACTCTAATAAGATGTATGATTTTCCTGGACATACCCGCCTACGGATAAGGTCGCGGGTTCGCGTCCTGACGGAGCCGGATATTTGTGTGTGTGTGTGTGTGTGCAAAAATGATGACCCCCAGGTCGACCCAGTTTTGAGTGGGTACCAGGTACAGTCCTAGGAATTAAAGGCAGGCTGCGTGATGCTGACCACATCACCCACCAAGTGCCGATTGGTCTATAAAAATATAGGTCTAGCCCTATATGCCAATACGCCTAAAGGCGTAGACTAGGGACCTTTACATTCATGTAGACAAGGCCACCTTAAAAGCAATACGATTACCCCCCCCCCCCCCGCAAACTAGTGTACACAGGAACACAATTGTTGTTGAAATCAATACACGAGATGTACACATATAAGCCTGGTGCGACAAGTATGCTTGTGGGACTCCCACTGCACGGACCCAGTTAACCTGACGGCACTGCCCGTGCAGTCATTTATTTTACACCTGGTTTTTCCTTCGGCAGAACTTTTTATCATCGCTGTTCGTTTACTGACGACAAAAATAATTTGCGGAATTATTTACTTCAGTAGGCTGCGTGGTCTCGAGGCATGGCGTCCGCCTCCGGTGCTAGAGGTCCCGGGTTCAAGCCCTAGTTAAGGCTGGGATTTTTTCACTCGGACTTCTAGCTATTTCCCCTAGTTTCTGGGTAGTAAGACCGGACGCCCGTGTGTATTGCTGCGCACTTTAAAAAAAATCCCTTGGCAGTTGGAAATCAAAAAGAGTAGCCTAATGCCTCTGCACGGGCAAATTTTAGAGTTAAAAACCTACCCAAAGTATTTCAGGATCCTCGCTGGTGCAACAGAGTTCGTGCACTGCGCTGAGAAATCTCAGACTCAGGCTTAGAGTTAGAAGAAGAACGGAACCCTTATGGGTTACACCCGTGTGCCATGATGTTGACCTGTTGAATAACACATAAAACTTACTTTAGTTTTAAACTGTACTGGAGTATTGAAACCCAACTTAATACACTACGGATCGAACAAGTATGCAGTTTGAGTCCATGCAAGACCATTCTTTCATAATGACGAATGCGATAAAGGAATTGTTTTATTTCAAAGCTAGCAGTTATATTTTGCCGCTCTTAGAATGTTGCCATTTTTTGGGGCCGCTCTGTGCAGCTGCACAAGTTGTGCATAGCCTAAACACGGCACTGACTCTATACCTGGCTGTTTTATTTCATATTCTGCTTTATTTTTTCCTCTTTTGTCAGTACCTGCTGTGTGCTGTTGGACATCACCGTTTGACATATGGCATGCAGCCGAGCCAGGACGCGTTCGGTTGCGTTGCATGCCTAATATGCCTAAGGCGGGGAAACATGGTCCTGTTATTTTTTTTACTCTTCGCCACATATTATTTTTACTCGTTATGTCTTGCTCCTTTTTTTTTTCTATATTGTTTTTATAGTGCTTTGTTTTAGACCCAACATTTAGTTATCTAAGTTCCCGTGTGGGTTCCAGGGCCCTATTATAGGGAAAACAAGAATAGACCCACTGCCTACCCAAAAGCATGTCGTAAGATTCGACTAATTGGCAGCTTCCTTTGAAGTCGGAGTGCATCTGCCTGAGAGGCAAGGAACCAGCAGTCTGCACATAATCAGATCTGTAAATGCACACGCAAGGCTCAGGTTCTGAAACAGGACTGCAGTCCAGAAGTGGACGAACAACCAGAACATTCCGCTCGAAAGAAGAAGAAGAAGTAATCTAAGGTAGCAACTGATTGAAAGATTGTGCTGTGTTAAGAACCCTTTGAGACTGACATAGTTAACTGGACCACATATACAAAGATTGAAGAAGTCACAGACGCAAATAAGCAAGTATCCGTGCAGTTACATTCGTCACTACAGCTTCATTTTCATCAGATAACATTCCCTATTTGTCCACATCACGTTTAGTAGTCACCAGGCTCCATCTGGTTGCGACTTTCAGCTGGTCGTCACAATCAGGTTATTGTCCCAGCAGCTGCGCTTTTGTGCCCAGATGTTGCCGTTCACATAATCAGTTTCTCCACACAACGTATCCATTTATTTCTCCTTTAAATATATGTAATGTATACATTGTTTTTCTGTCAACTCAGTTTTTATGTTTTGCAAGAAGGGATCATTGATTTCCTAAATTAATTTATGATGTCAGCCAGTATCATTGATCACAGTAATATATCGTATCAGATAGTACTGGCAAATTTAGTAAAGTCGGGTTGTGCACATCAGTACAGTAATATGTTTAAGATAATAACTTCAGTACTGTAATATGTATCAGTTAGTACACTTCATTAAAGTAATATGTATAAGATAGTACACTTCAGTACTGTAATATGTATCAGATAGTACACTTATGTACAGTAATATGTATCAGATAGTACACTTCAGTACAGTAATATGTATAAGATGGTACACTTCAGTACTGTAATATGTATAAGATAGTGCACATCAGTACAGTAATATGTATCAGATAGTACACTTCAGTTCGGTAACATTTAAAAGATAGTACACTTCAGTACTGTAATATATATCAGATAGTACACTTCACTACAGTAATATTTATCAGATAGTAAACTTCAGTACAGTAATATGTATCAGATAGTACACTTCAGTACAGTAATGTGTATCAGATAGTACACTTTAGTACTGTAATATGTATCAGATAGTACAGTAATATGTATCAGATAGTACACTTCAGTACAGTAATATGTATCAGATAGTACACTTCACTACAGTTATATGTATCAGATAGTACACTTAAGTACAGTAATGTGTATCAGATAGTACATTTCAGTATAGTAATATAACATATCAAATAGCACACTTCATTACAGTAATATAACATCAGTAGAATAATATATCAGATAGTACTCTTCAGTGCAGTAATATATCATATCAGATAGTACTCTTCAGTATAGTAATGTAACATATCAGATAGTACTCTATAGTATAGTAATGTGAAATATCAGATAGTACTCTTCAGTATAGTAATGTGAAATATCAGATAGTACCCTTCGGTACAGTAATATATCAGATAGTACTCTTCAGTACAGTAATATAACATATCAGATAGTACTCTTTAGTACAGCAAATTATTTCTCCCCCCGACGCTTAACGGCAGAAGTGGTTTATGATGATGATGACGATGATGACTCTTTAGTACAGTTATATATCAGATAGTACTCTATAGTACAGTAGTATAACATATCAGATAGTACTCTTTAGTACAGTAATATAACATATCAGATAGTACCCTTTGGTACAGTAATATATCAGATAGTACAAATGTTGCCAATAATTCAACTGTAGTTCAGTTTGTGTATAAATCTACTGGATAACCATTGTTACAACCGACCGGCCATGCCAGCCTCACAAAAACGGGAATTCTTGTTTGATATGTAGGGCCTTATATCTGGAGCTGGCAGTGCAATAAACCTATGACAGTAGAAAACACAAAACGTGAGAAGAGTAGCTGGTTCTAGAAAACCACAAGGAAGGATTAAACACGACATCAGAACAGGGATTAGCATATGAGATGCTAATATATCTTAAAACAGAAAAACTGAATTCTAGTTCACTTTAAATATCCACAAAGATAGACCACACAATATAATTACTATAATTGTTTGAAAGTACACTTAAAATATACTAAACTTGATAATCTATACTCCTACAATCCTATACAATTGACCCATAAGCTATGCAGTATTAAATAACCAAACAAAATTGATAGCCATAAATATTGATTATTGAAATAGGAAACAAAATGCTATATATATCCCAATTTTAACCTGGATGGACATAACAGGATATTGTTGTTTAAAATACTACTACATTTTAGTTTTTTCTTGATCTCACTTTTTAGGAGTTGCATTTGAGGGCTCGCCTGATAATTCCGTCAGTAAGTGCCAAATCAAGATCATTAAACAAACTGGCAAAGTTGCAGCCTTGGAGAAACTTGTGTTGGGTAAGTACTTGTTGTTATTATTATTTTTTAAAATCATTTTATTCTTCTATGATTGCATTCTTCTTCTTCTTTTTCTTCTTCTTTTTCTTCTTCTTTGTTCACCGACTGTAAACTCCAGCAGAAAGTCCTACTTGTTCATCCATTTAGACTTAGACTTTGTGCCAGGGCCTGAGTTTTGTGTGTACATCCCTCATCCCTTTTACTGACTTATTTGTGTGCATTTGATTGTTCCTTGCCGCTCAGTTGATTGCTCCTTGCCGCTCTGGCAGATGCACTCCGATTTTGAAGGAAGCCCCCAGTTAGTCTACTAAAATGACATGCTTGTTCTGGAGGCAGTGGGTGGTGTTTAATGTGATGCAGCAGTGTTTAATTTAACAGTTGTGTTGGCAGTCAGGTTAATATACATTTCTACTGTTCAGTGCAACAACCAGTAAAAGTAAGCTTGCATTGCATAAATTTCCATTTAAAATTTATTTTATTTTTTGTCCTTTACATTAATTTTTTTTTAAATTTCATTTCGCTGTTATCTTCCTTAAAACTTATTCTGAAGATAGGGGTAATGCTAGTGGTTGCTTGCAGATGGTTGCTTTATCGGTCAGATTTAGGTAAAGGCCAACATGCTGAATTGTAATAAGTCACATCCTGGGTCACTGTGCCAAGTTGGCAGTAGTGCTAACTATTGGAAGAACTGGTTTAGGAGGCCCCTACCACATCTCCTTGGGCCGTGAACAGAGGCCACCTCCCACATCCTGTAAAATGAATTTGACTACAGAAAAATTTGAGAAGTGATGAAGGAGAATCACCAAACATGCACCATCAATGATGGGTTGGCCAAAAGAGGGTGTCCAAGAAAAACCTAAATTTGGAAGGCGCATGTTGTACTTGCTCCTCTATGTAGTTTCTACTACATATATGGCAGCGGTGAAGACAAAGATGAGGAAGCGCATGATAGTATAAGACTTTCTTTCAAAATCCCAGGCAAAGCCGGGCAAGTAAATTTATTTTTCTGTACAGATAGTCCACTTCCTGTACAGTTAATACACTTCACTTCAGTAATGTGTATCAGATAGTTCAATCAGTACAGTAGTATGTATCAGATAGTAAACTTCAGTACTGTAATATGTATCAGATAGTACACTTCAGTACACTAAAATGTATCAGAACTTTAGTATATTTCTGATATCCGTCTATTCGGTTATCCATTACAGCCCTGATCCAGGCGGTGACGGTTAATCATAATATTACTGCACTGTAAGAGTCCGGTATTTTCAGTGTGTGTTGCCACCTTTGTACTTCTGTCATGACACTGCCTGGAAGCCTGTTGTGTGGCCCATGGTCGTTTCTTCTAATGATGCTGTCCTATCTTCGTCATCCGGAAACACACACTGTTTTAACATGATGATGATTCTTTTAAGGGAGAGGAGAACAGGGATTCGGGGGAGGGAGGGGGAGGATAGGCGAGCTGAATAATGTTTTTTTTTTAAACTTAAAAAAGGTCGGTATGCCAAATTATTTGGGAACCTATGCTCTAAACTAGTCCAGACAATGCTGATGTTGTTTCTTCTTCATTTTCTTCTTCTTCTTCTTCTCCCCCTTCCCCTCCCCTCCTCCCCCTTCCCCTCCTCCCCCTTCCCCTCCTCCCCCTTCCCCTCCCCTCCTCCTCCTTCTCCTTCTGCTGCTCCTGCTTGTCCTTCTCCTCCTCACTCTTCTCCTGTTCTAATTTGCCTCCTTCCTCCTTCATTTACTCTTTTCCTTTCTCTTGCCCGTCTCCTTTTCACCCCCTCCTCTTTATTCATCTTTCTTTTCCTTTGCTTCTTCTTCTTATTACTACTATTATTAATATTACTACTATTATTACTATACTTCATTTAAGTCAACAATCTACCTTAGAATTGTTTAAGTAGGTTACTTTTATAGACACCACCCAGTTTTTCTATTAAACTGCTACATGTATATTTTATATTCATTGACAGTTTACGTGCAGTGTGGTGAAATAATGGACATTGATTTTATTGAATTGTTTGTTTAATAAAACTAGAAACGTCCAGTTGACTGATTTAGCTGCCTTACTTTGGCTGAAACATGGGAGGCCACCATAAGTGTCTGTGTGTGTTCCCGGATATCTTTTTCTTACAGTCCTTGCAGTGTGGCATTGGTAGTCATGTTTGTCCACAACCTTCTGTCTCAAGTATTTTCAGTCAGTTCTGACACAGGATCCTCCCATCAGCAGAGTCCATTAAAGGCTTTTTCTCTCATGGAACCCTTTCTTTATCGGCTCTTCCTCTTTTTTCTTCTTCTTCTTCATCTTTTTCTTCTTCTTCTTTTTTCTTCCTCCTCTTCTTCTTCATCTTTTTCTTCTTATTCTTCTTCTTCATCTTTTTCTTCTTCTTCTTCTTCATCTTTTTCTTCTTCTCCTTTTTTCTTCGCTTCTACTGGCTGTAAACGCCGGTGGAAATTTCTGGTTGCTCAGCCACTAATGGACTTGGATCTTTAATCCGAACTTGAGTTTTGTGTGCATATCCCTTTTAGAGAACTTGCTTATTTGTATGCAGACTGTTGGTTCCTCACCTCTCAGGCAGATGCACACAGACATTGAAAGACACCCCCCCCCCCCCCCCCACCCCCCTCTTGGTTAACGTGCTTGTTAGGAAGACAATAAGTGTGTTCTTTGTTCTCCAAATTGGAGCCCAGGAACCCACATGAGGGTCGCTACCTAGGACATGCTTACAGATTATAGTGTAGTTATTCTGTGTGCCCCTACTGTGCCTAGGCCGATTACAAACAAGCAAGATAAATACCTTTGAATTAATCAACACTGCTATGAAACTAGCAACACAAGCAAAACAAGTTATCAAAGGAATTACAACTAACAAAATTGTATCCTTTGTTGGCATTTATTTTGTCTCGCTTTGCTGGGTTTATAAGTCTAGTATTCATACATCTGTGCAATAGTGACTTTCTAGTGCACTGCACACTTGTAGAGGCTTTATTTAATCAATAGTGTAAATCGGAATATATATATGCAGTACAGATTACCATAGCAAGGCAGTCGTTTTTTTTTCTTTATCTTCGATCCTTCTGTCAGAAAACTTATATCTGAAAGCTGGTGGTCTTTATGAATGTTATCACATAGTCGCCATACAGGTTTGTCTTCATCGTGGTTGGAGGAGGAGGAAATGCAACCTGAAAACTTCATACTATGGCAGGGCAGACCCAGCCTTTAGCCTTGGCTGGCAGCTGGTCCAGAAGGACAGCTCTGACAGGTGGACAGAGAAAGTGCTGCTCTTCTGATCTGGCAGCTTCTCCAGCATGCTTTTTTCCATATGTATTGGTGTTACCTTATCTTTGGAGTAAACAAGGCAGACCGAGAGAGAGAGAGAGAAAGAGAGAGAGATCGTGCTGGATGGTAACAAATGGCTTTGTGCTATGGAGAGGAGGGACTTCATCTTTGGCCTTAGTTGGTCTCAGTGAGGCATCTTGCTAGTCACACTTGCTATCGCCATGGGCTATAGTTACCATGCCTCCCATAACACAGAATAATACTATCGCATGGAAAGATGGAAAGGTGCCACAGAGGACCTCGATTAACACCCAGTGAGATAAAATGGGAAGTGACAATGTTCAGATAAGAATCCCCCAGGTACCAATCCCAGAAAGCCCTGTTAAACCCCAAGGTTATATTTGGGGCCTGCTACGATTACAGAGTAACCGGATGTTCAGACAGGGTAAGGCCTCGACCAATTGGCTTTCTGGGCTGTCGAAATGAGAGCGAGGCTCATCAGAGGATTTGCTACATGATGCTGAAGGGTACCCAAAGAGTAGATGGATTGATGACATCCTCTTCTTTGCGCTCACTGGCTGTACACCCTAGCGGAAAGTTCTGCTTGTTCGTTTCTCTGTGGACTTTAGTCTTGTTCCAGGACCTGAGTGTTGGTGCACATCCGTTTTACAGATTGGGCCTTTTTGTATGCAGATCGTTGGTTCCTTGTCTGTCAGACAAATGCGGTCCGACTTTAATTTGACTCTCCAAGTAGTCGACTCTTACGGCATACTCGCTAGGGAGGCAGTAGGTTCAATCTTGGATAGTAGATAGCGTAGGTTTGGGGAAGGGTGTTAACTCTGAATATTAGAGAGATGTGATGGCTTAGGCGTTTGCAAATGCACTTCGTTATGCCGAGAGGCCTAGTTTGATCCCAGCTGCAGACGATTTGGCAGCAGACCACCTTGCTTGGTTTCAGCAATGGTATCAAGGGCCGACCATACAGTGAGAGATAGCAAACTGCCAAACATAAAATCACAGGCCCAAAAAAAAAACATGCTGGGGTTGGTTCTGCAACATCCTGTGAAGCAGGCATGTGAAACCTGAGGGCCATATGGGTCACATTTGTGTTGTCATGAGGGCCATATGGGTCACATTTGTGTTGTCATGAGGGCCATATGGGTCACATTTGTGTTGTCATGAGGGCCATATGGGTCACATTTGTGTTGTCATGAGGGCCATATGGGTCACATTTGTGTTGTCATGAGGGCCATATGGGTCACATTTGTGTTGTCATGAGGGCCATATGGGTCACATTTGTGTTGTCATGAGGGCCATATGGGTCACATTTGTGTTGTCATGAGGGCCATATGGGTCACATTTGTGTTGTCATGAGGGCCATATGGGTCACATTTGTGTTGTCATGAGGGCCATATGGGTCACATTTGTGTTGTCATGAGGGCCATATGGGTCACATTTGTGTTGTCATGAGGGCCATATGGGTCACATTTGTGTTGTCATGAGGGCCATATGGGTCACATTTGTGTTGTCATGAGGGCCATATGGGTCACATTTGTGTTGTCATGAGGGCCATATGGGTCACATTTGTGTTGTCATGAGGGCCATATGGGTCACATTTGTGTTGTCATGAGGGCCATATGGGTCACATTTGTGTTGTCATGAGGGCCATATGGGTCACATTTGTGTTGTCATGAGGGCCATATGGGTCACATTTGTGTTG